AGGGGTGAGGGTGAGGAGCAGGGAGCTTTGAGGAGAGCATGAGGAGGAATCTGATGGTTGTGAGCATGCTGCAACACTTGAAAGGAATAATAAAGCCTGAGGAAGTCCCTTAGCTCCTTTTCAATGCTGGAGATCAAACTCAGGGCCTTGCAATGCTGTCCAAACATCCCACCCCAGATCAACCTTTCATGTGTGTGCATGTGTATGTGCATATGTATGTGCATGTGTGCAGGTGTCTAGTTGTCTTGAGTGAAAGTCTGACTGTGCAGAGTTAGACAAGGCTTAGAACAGGGCAGCAGGGGTCAGAGTGCATAAGATGCCACAGAGGGTGGTGTGGAGATGGTGCTTATCCCAGGCAATAGAAGGGGTTAAGATTTCAGAGCAGGTGGTATGATTCAATTTTTTTTTTTTGCCACCGTTTTGGAGATAACCAAAATTTTTGATTGACATTTCTTAGCATTTCTGCCTGGCTCTGGAATCAGGCCCTTCATTGTGCAGTCTGAGTACAGAAAGATTTTAAAAGAGAGCCTTATACCTGTCATGAAAGGCAGCAAGAAAGGGCGGTGGGCCTGGGGATCTGACCTATGTGGGTTCTCCCTCCACACTGAACACACTTCCAGCCTTGCAGGATTGCTGCCAAAGCCCGCCCCTGAAAAGGCATTTCCTGGAATGTAACTCTGGTGGAAACTGAAAGCAGCTATGCGTTTTCTGTAACTGGGGCATTTCTAGGAAATCAGTTGCTTTTTGTGTTAGCAAAGCAGGAAAGCGGTTTCTTTTCAGCTCTAAAGAGGATTGCAACTGCAAAGTTAAAGCACAAAGGCAATTAAACCCCTTAGCCCTGTTGCAGTTTTCTTGTTTTTTAAAAACTGTCTGTCTCTCTCATGATGTGTGTGTCCGTGTCTGTGTGAGTGCTTGTCTGTGTGTGTAAGGGAAGGTCGTGTGTGCCACGTTGCTGTGGACGTCGTGCTCCCCATGTTGTTTGTTACAAGGTGTGCAAGCTGGCCCACAGGTTTCTGGGTATTGTTCTGTCTCTGCCACTTGCCTTGCCACACTAGCACTGAGACAGCATATGCACGATACAGCATGAGCTTTCACGTGGATTCTGGGGATTCAAACTCAGGCACTCACGCTTGAATGGCAAGGGCTCTACAGATCGATGCATGTTTCCACACCCCAGCGTACATTTGTGGAACATATTTAGAAACCACATTTTCCCAAAGGGCATATCTATGTTTCACAGTCTAGAACAGCTTCTTTTCATGGCCAGTGGTTTTGGCTGGGAACTTCACCAAAGCCTCACAATGGTCAATGTGTCCCTTAACATCTGCTGTCTCCACTACCCTCCATGGTGCGTGTCTCCACAGGGCTTCTGAAATCATGGGAGCTTTGTTATTTTCAACTGTCCATGTTTTCCCACAGCATCCTTGTTACCTATCATAGAACAGCCACGGGAAAACACAGTAAAAAGGCAAAATCAGAAGCTCTTTATTTTAAGACACAACCTGAAAATTCTTGATAAAAAACTTGTACTAGTGTTTATAAAATCTCCTGACATACCCTAGGAGCAGGGTGGGGGCATAAATAAGAATATAAAAACTAGAAGAGACCTAAACAATGAAAGAAGAGAAATAGCAGAGGAAGAAGAACCAGGCCCTAAAATATTCTGTGAACAAGGGGACTGGGTCACTCAGGACGCCAGGAATAAGATGGAGCAAAAGGTTGAGTGTAGTCTCAGGACAGGTATGCTGAGGATGTTGTGTCTTTGCTGTTTGTTGTGTTTGGTTTCCTACAGATGAGGGATGCTGGGGAAATACACAAGGGCTTGATGCCTAAGGAAGAGGGATGCTAGGGGAATATACAGAGGTAATGATCTAGATGCCAAAAGGAGGCCTGTGCTCTGACTTGTTATCAATGTGGAGTAAAACCTTACAACTGATGATGGCTGCCACCCACCTTGCAGGTAAACCACCTCTGTGCTTTTGAGTCTGCAATCATTTTCCATGTCTCTTTTATCATCTTCTCTGCAGGCACATAAATTGAAAACTCAGAATACTCTGTGAGGGGAGCTGAGATTACATCATGAAGCTCATCAGGCTCATTGAAAATTGTAGCACTTTCTTTTTATTTTAAAAAATACTTTTATTAAAAAAAATTTCCATACAACATATTTTGATCAAGCTTTCCTGTCCCCCAATTCCTCCCAGCTCCTTCCCATTTCCCTACCCACAAATCCATGACTTTTCTGTCTCTGTTTTCAGAAAACAAAGAAAAGCAAGCAAACAAAACCATAATAAACACACACTCCCTATAAAAACATAAAATCAGAAACAATAATTGTAGCAGGAATCTTAGAAAGTCTTAATAAAATCAAACCTGTGCCAGGTTTTGGGATGAACTGGAAGATCAGAGAACCAGAACAAGCCACAGCTACCTCACCTGGCCAACTTCTCAGCTGATCTTGTTTCCTCAGACTGGAAGCCTCTGTGTCCTCATATCTGAATGGCTCTCAGCTGAACTGTGCTGCTAGAAGACTGAAAGCTTAACCAGCCAAATGCTTAACCAGCCAAATGCTTCTAGTTTCTGGTCCTCACACCTTATACACCTTTCTGCTTTCTACCATCACTCCCTAGGATTAAAGGCTTGCTTTTTGGGATTAAAGGCATGAGTCATCATGCTTGGCTGTATCCTTGAACACATGGATTTCTTCCCCTGGAATGCTAGGATTAAAGGTGTGTGCTACCACTGCCTTTCCTCTATGTTTAATATTGTGGCTGTTCTGTCTCTGACCCCAGATAAGTTTATTAGGGTGCACAATATTTAGGGGAACACAATACCACAAATAATAAACAAAAAGTCCAGTCCATTAAAAAAAAGGTCCACACAAAGCAATATCAGACAGAAAGCACAAAGACGCTATTGCATTTGTTTGTGTTGACCATCCACTGCTGATCATGCGGCCTACCCTTATGTGTGGTTTGTATCCACTGGAGAAAATTAATTTTTCCTTTGCAAGTGGGTCGAATTGAGTCGAAAAAATTGAGTTGAATGTCCCTTAGGTTAGGTCCATTTTGGGCTGCTTACTGTGAGTATATAAGGAGGAGTGTAATTTCCTTATAGTTTGATAACTATCTGTATATAAAAGCACACTGAGATTGGTCTGGAAAATGGCTCAGTGGTTAAGACCACTGGCTGCTCTTCCTGAGAACCTGGGTTTCATTCCCAGCATCCACATGTTGGCTCACAGCTGTCTTTAACTCAAGTTCCAGGGGATCTGACACCCTCTTCTGGGTTCAATGGCACTGCCCACAAATGGTGCACTTACATCAATGCAGGCAAAATACCCAAACACATAAAATAAATAAATATTTAAAAATAGAATGTGGATAGCCGGGCGATGGTGGCGCACGCCTTTAATCCCAGCACTCGGGAGGCAGAGCCAGGCGGATCTCTGTGAGTTCGAGGCCAGCCTGGGCTACCAAGTGAGTTCCAGGAAAGGCACAAAGCTACACAGAGAAACCCTGTCTCGAAAAATCAAAAAAAAAAAAAAAAAAATGTGGAGAAAGGAAATGAAAACATGGTGTAAGGATAGGGTAAGGATAGGGCTGACAGGATGGCAAACATTTTTAAGAGTGGTTCTTTAAGGAAGGAATCTCCCAAGGGAAGGGTCTGAAGCAAGTCCTGATTGGGATAAATTGTTAGTAGTGAAGTGTCCAGTGCATGCTGTGGTAGAATTAGTATCTTCTTTCATGAGCTAAATCTGCAGCTTGATTCTAAGGACACATGATGTCCAGATTAGCCCTAAAAAACAAGACAGCCTTGACTACTCTTCTCTCTAGGAGCATGTCTCACTGAGGGGAAGAACTGTTCACTTTGCAATAGTGGTAGAAGATAAGAGGCCAGGCTGCAATTTTTAATTTGGTTAAGAGGCCCAAATCTAATTGCAAAATACAAACAATACGAAAAATAAATCCAGTATATTTTTTCAAAACCTATCAGTCTTATAGAAATATTTGCCCTGAAAATTACCTAGATGAACTCCAGGCCACAGAACTTGGAAGAACCATCATAAACTTCATCAAAGAATTCAAGGAGTTTAAAGATGATGCAAAGAAACAGCTCAATGAAGTTAAGGAGGAAGAACCTAAGAAGTATAGTGTGGTGATATTGTGTTCCCCAATATATTGTGCACCCTAATAAACTTATCTGGGGTCAGAGAACAGAACATCCACTAGATAGACATAGAGGCCAGAAAGTGGTGACACACATCTTTAATCCCAGGAAGTGATGGTAGGAAGCAGAAAGGTATAAAAGGTGTGAGAACCAGGAGGAAATAGAGGCTTTTTAGCTTTTCGGCTTCTTAGTAACAGTTCAGCTGAGATCCATTCGGATGAGGACTCAGAGGCTTCCAGTTTGAGGAAACAAGTTCAGCTGAGAAGTTGGCCAGGTGAGGTTAGATGTGGCTTGTTCTGTCTCTTTGATCTTTCAGCAGTCACCTGTAGCTAGAGTTTTCCTGCTTTGCCCAGTCAGGACAAATCTTTGTCACCCGCCAATCCCACAGCTGCTCAGACCCAACCAAGTAAACACAGAGACTTATATGTATGGC